ACTGGATCCTGGGATCAGTGGTGGGAACAATCCCAGCATTCCCAGATTTTCCATTGGATCTTTGGATCAGTGCTGGGAGCAATTCCCACTTTTCCAGCTTTTCCTTGGATCCTTGAACCAATTCCCGGCTCCTCCATTGGATCCTGGGACCAACTGTGGGAAAAATTCCAGAATTCCTGGTTTCTCCATTGGATCCTTGGATCAATGGTGGGAGCAATTCCCACTTTTCCAGCTCCTCCACTGGATCCTGGGATCAGTGGTGGGAACAATCCCAGCATTCCCAGATTTTCCATTGGATCTTTGGATCAGTGCTGGGAGCAATTCCCACTTTTTTCCATTGGATCTTTGGATCAGTGCTGGGAGCAATTCCCACTTTTCCAGCTTTTCCTTGGATCCTTGAACCAATTCCCGGCTCCTCCCTTGGATCCTGGGACCAACTGTGGGAGAAATTCCAGAATTCCTGGTTTCTCCATTGGATCCTGGGATCAGTGGTGGGAACAATCCCAGCATTCCCAGCTCTTCCATTGGATCCTTGGATCAATGGTGGGAGAAATTCCCACTTTTCCAGCTTTTCCTTGGATCCTTGAACTAATTCCCGGCTTTTCCATTGGATCCCGGGATCAATTCTGGGAGCAATTCCCACTTTTCCAGCTTTTCCTTGGATCCTGGGATCAGTGGTGGGAACAATCCCAGCATTCCCGGCTCTTCCATTGGATCCTGGGATCAATTCTGGGAGCAATTCCCACTTTTCCATCTCCTCCATTGGATCCCTGGATCAATTCTGGGAGCAATTCCCGCATTCCCGGCTTTTCCTTGGGATCCTTGAGCCAATTCCCGGCTCCTCCCTTGGATTTCCCTCCCCTCTCCCGCTTGGAATCCTCCCCAACCATTCCCACCGGGAATCCCCCTGGATCCGAGCCCGGGATCCATCCCTACCCTCCCTTCCCGCAGGACATCGGCCTTTCCCTACGGAAACTCATCGGGAGCGTCGACGAGATCCTTCCCGACCTCCCGCCCTCTTCCCGCACCGAGGTAGGAACTCCGGGAATGACGACACCGGGAGCGGGGAATTCCGCCTTCCCCCATCCCAATTCCCAAAAAAAAAAACCCCCAAAAAACTCCCGCAGATCGAGGGCACCCAGAAGCTGCTGAACAAGGACTTGGCCAACCTGATCGGGAAGATGCGGCTGGCGCAGCAGAATTCCGGCACTTCCCTCCGCTCGGAATTCCAGCGGCAGATGCTGACGGCCTCCCACGCCCTGGCCGTGGACGCCAAGAACCTTCTGGATTCCGTGGATCAGGCCAAGCTCCGGGCCAATCCCGGCTCGGAATGACGGAGGGAAGGCGGGAAAAGACAGGCGGAGACGGAAGAAAAGCCGGGGCGGATCCGGGAGGATCCGGGAGGATCCGCTGTCGTTTTTTTCCCCCTCTTCCCGCTTTTTTTTTTGTTGTTTCCCTGCTGCTCGCGTCTGTCGGTGTCGCCTTGCTCTTGGGGGGAGGCGTCCGTCTGTCCGTCCGGGTGTCCGTCCGGGGGGGTTTTCCCGGGAAAAGAAGGGGTTTTCCCGGGAAAAGAGGGGGGTTTTCCCGGGAAAAGAAGGGGTTTTCCTGGGAAAAAGAAAAAGAAGTTTTCCTGGAAAAAGAAGGGGTTTTCCCAGGAAAAAGAGAGGGGTTTTCCTGGGAAAAGAGGGGGGTTTTCCTGGGAAAAGGAAGGAGTTTTCTCGGGAAAAAGAAGGAGTTTTCCCAGGAAAAAGAAGG